AATTACCTATGACAAAAGCAAAGGTACAGAAACAAAAAAACAAAAACAGCTCCAGAATTTAGTTATCTCATCTGCTACCAGCCCAGTTGCCAGAAAGTGTTGGCATTGTACGTTTCTGCAAACCACAGAAATATTTTTACATTTCACACATATATCAGCATTTCTAATGTGATGCAGTATATAAGCTGACTTTGTCTTGGGGAGATGGAGGAGATAGAGGGGATGGAGGACAGCGTGACATTTTAAGGCAGACACCTGTCAAGCTGCAGACCACCGTTCCAAACCAACAAACAAACAAAAGTGGTTGTTTTTTAGCAAGGCATCACTGTGTTACCACCACGGATAGTATTATGAAAAGCACTTGGTTTTTACTAAGACATCACTGTATCTTTACCAAGACATGGGTGTGTTTCCACGAGGCATGTGCCACACAAGGTGTTTGGTCTTTACCAAGACATTGCTGTTTTTTCCAAGAAATCACTGTTTTTTTACTAGGACATCACTGTGTTTCCCCTGGAGATAATGCCACAATAAGTGTTTTTTAAAAACTTAGACATCCCTGGATTTCCACCAGGAATAATGCCACGAAAAGAGGTTGTTTTTTTTACTGAGACCTTGATGAGTTTCCAGCTGGTAAAGTACCACAAAAAGCAGTTGGTTTATACCAAGACATCACTGTTTTTTACCAAGACATTGTTGTGTTTCCACCAGGGATAGTGCCACAAAAAGTGCTTGGTTTTCATCAAGACATCGGCGTATTTTCACTAAGGATAGTGCCATGAAGAGCAGTTGGTTTATACCAAGACATCGCTGTATTTTTACCAAGACTCCACTGTGTTTCCACTGGGGAAAATGCCATGAAAAGAGTTTTTTTTTAAAACTGAGACATCCCTGTATTTCCACCAGGAATAGTGCCACAAAAAACAGCTGTTTTTACTGACACAATGCTGCATTTCCAGCTGGTAAAGTGTGACGAAGACATCGCTGAATTTCCTGCCATGATAGTGCCATGAAAGGAGGTTGTTTTATTCCCGAGACATCATTGCCTTCCTAGCAGAGATTGTGCCACCAAATCTGTGTATTTTAAGCCAAAACATTTATCTGATCCTGACCATAACTAAGTGGTTTTTACTTTATGGAAATACCCTCTTTTTACTCATAACATTGCTAAAATCCCCCACATCAAAATAACAGGTTGATGATAATCCATTTTCTGGCCTTAATGTCACATTTAGCATTCACTTCCACATAACCACTTTAACAAATGAACCTTTGTGATTAGAAATTATTTGACTGACAAAGTGGGGGAGTAACTGATTACAGTACATTTAATTTTGGGTAATGTGATCAGATTACAAATGAATGTACTGTAGGTGCCATCAGCCCCAATTAAATTGTACAAACTGTGACATTTAGAAATACCAAATAAATCAGTGCTCCTTGAGTAACTGAGAAGACATGACGGTATCTTCTCGCTATGACAATTCTAACATTCGTCATTTATGAGTCATATATCAGTCTAGATGGCTCGTCCTGATAAAGTGTATGTCTAGGTCCACACAGTTACAGCCTACTTAAGTATCCACCCTATGTCCTTGGTAACCTTAGCTCACATCTACTTCTGTGCAATACATGTTTGTCTGTGTCCTTTGCTGTGTTGAGATGATTTGTGGTGTTTTGAGCTGTAATGAAACTCTGATGTTTTCCTGAAAAAAGCCACTGAGATAAGATCCTGTCCCCATCTGGGACAGAGCCGACGAGCCAGCATCAATAATTCATATCTTGACCATTATGAGATATGAATTATGAGCCTGGGAATGCCTGATCGGGTAGCAGAGGGATGGAGAAAGATAAGTCTGGTTGATGGATGGCTATCCTAACACTTTTCATCTGTGTAGCCAGCTCTCCTAAAATTTCCTGAAGTGAGCCCAGTTTTCAAATGCAAATATGCAAGAAAGCAGCTGTTGGATTCACCGAAGTTCTACTGTTGACCACATAACAGCTTCAGTAGTTGTTGTGTTTATGTGCCTTGCTCAAGGGAATCTAAGCACTTGTTGAGAGATAAGACAGCATATATGAGTCACAGCACCAGCTGAGATTTTCCAAGCTGTGATCAATCAGTCACCCTGCAATTACCAGCATCTCTGACTATTTGGCAGCTGCTGCACAACACGGAACATCTGTCCTGCTTTTGCTTCACCGAGGCTAAATTTGATTTCTGCAAAGGTGAAAGTGGCAAAACTGATGAACAATCTCAGCAGGGGAACAATCAGAGCCGATGTTTCCTCCAGGCACTGTGGATCATTGCAGAACAGTTTAGGTCAAATAAGGCCATATGTGTATTGGTAATTGTGCTAATTTTCACCAAACAAGACTCTGTAGGCACGAATATCTGCAGCCATCTCTGTGAGGCTGTGTAAAGGCACAGTTGTGCTTTGAGCTAAATGCTAACACCAGCACGGCAACATGCATACAGTGACAGTGCTGTTTATTGTGTTCACCATTTTAGTTTAGTGTTAGCATGCTAGCATTTACTAATTAGCACTATGATGCAGCTGAGGCAGGTGAAATGTCACTAGTTCTGCAGGTACTTGGCAATCATTGACCTGATTATTGAACTAGAGGGAAATATCAGTGAACATTATCAGGTTATTGCACTTCATTTTATCAGTATCCATGAATGTGGGAAATGAACCAAATTTTGGCCCAATACATTGTGTAGATGTTGAAATATTATACAGGATAAGTAAAAACTTTTATTCAGTCCTGGTGCTAAAGAAAAATTGAGGGGATCACCAAAGTCAGTAGGATTCATCCTCTGGGAACCATGATTGTCTGAACCAAATTTCGTGTACTTCTATGAAATTTGTCTGAACCAAATTTCATAGAAGTACATGAAACTGTTGCTGATACATTTTATTTTTCAGTCATTAGGCAACATCCTCTTGGAACCATGAATGTCTGGACAAAATTTTGTTCCACTCCATTCTACAGAGATATTCTACAGGATAAACAAAAACTTTAATTCCCTTGTGAGGCTAGAGGCTAATTGAGGGGATCACCAAGTCAGTAGGATACATCCTCTGGGGACCATGAATTCTTGTAAAACAGTTTCTTCCAATCTATTACATAGGCCTAATTGTTTAGATATTTTACAGGATAAGTAAAACCTTTAACCTGTTGGTGGTGCTAGAGGAAAAGTGAGGGGATCAACAAAGTCTGTAGGATTCATTCTTGGGGACCATGAATGTCTGCCAATCTGTCGTGTACAGGATTAGATATTTTACAGGATGACTTAAGAACTGTAACCTGTTGGTGGTGCTAGAGGACAAATGAGAAGATTGCCAAAGACGGTGCGATGTATCCTCTGGGGGCCATGAATGTCTATACATGTTGTTCCAATCCATTCTGCAGATGTCGAGATGTTTTACAGGATAAGTAAAAACTTTAATTCACTATACAAAATTTTGTGCCAATTCGTCAGGTACATGTTGAGATATTTTACAGGATAACTTATAAACTGTAACCTGTTGGTGGTGCTAGAGGACAAATGAGAAGATTGCCAAAGTTTGTGGAATTCCTCTGGGGCCATGAATGTCTATACATGTTGTTCCAATATATTCTGCAGATGTCGAGATGTTTTACAGGATAAGTAAAAACTTTAATTCACTTGTGGTGCTAGAGGAAAAGTGAGGGGATCACCAAAGTCAACAGGATACGTCCTCTGGGGTTCATGAATGTCTGTACAAAATGTTGCACCAATCTGTCAGGGACATGCTGAGATATTTTACAGGATAAGTAAAAACCTTAACCTGGTGGAGGTGCTAGAGGACAAATGGGAAGATCACCAAAATCAGTAGGAGTCATCCTCTGGGAACCATGAATGTCCTTAAAAAATACCATGGCAATCTGTCCAATAATTGTGAAGATATTTTAGACCAAGTGTGAATAAACTTGCTATAGGCTGACCTGCAGTTATATAAGTTGGTGGTACTGAGAAGCAAAAGGCCACATAAAAATTTCAGATACTTTAAAGCTGCTTGTCAACACACACACACACACACACACACACACACACAGAGCACCAACCGTGAGGAGAGGAGCCATTTCTCTACTTATTTCTCAACAAGATAACACCCTCTGGTCAAAATGAAATCCCTCTTCAAGTGTCCACCGCTCAGAACAAAGCTATCTAATTTTGCGAGAGCGCCTCCGGCTCCAAAAGCTGCTCCGAAACAGCCAGTCCTCAGAGGAGCCGTAACCAGGGCCAAGGAACAGGCATCCTGGGCGGGCTCGGCTCCAAACACTGGGCATACGGCCCGTACTGAAGCCTCTGTGGCCACTCACTGGTTTATTGCCATTTCAGTGAGAAGAAAGGAGGAGGGGGGTGAAGAGAAGGGAGGGAGAGAGAGGATTAAAGGGGGAATGCATGGGGAGAGGATAGGGAGAGAGAGGATGGAGAGGTGAAGAAAGGGATGAAGCTGCTTAATGGAGAATAAATAAACCTGGTAAAATTAGTGCCATTTATATGAAAAACAAACACACACACACACACACACACAAATGCACACAGTGGTAATTACAGAGCTATGGTGTTGCTGACAGTGTAGAACATGATGACACCAGACCACAACACCAGCAAAACACACACTGTGGACACACTAATAACTGTGGAGGGGATAGTTGACATGTCTTTGTGCACCCTCACACACCATGACAGCCACACACAGGAGTGTTTTATGTGTTTATGGCTTAGACCAAGTCCAGAGTCCAGTCTCTATAGGCCTCATTATACCTGCATATAGGGTGTTTTCAGGTAGATGTGTGCTGTCAGGCCTTTGTCATCATATCTGGACCACATTCACTCAGACTTGTTGGGTTTCAAAGCACCAGTTGTCTCCTTTCACCGCCTTAATCTCAGCATCTTACATGGATTAGTGTGTCTGCAGCTGCATGCACCGGCTCCATCAGATGTGGATTATGGGGGGGGGGTTGCTTACCTGGATTGCCGCAGTCCGCGCACGTTTCGTTCCCCGGTCTCGCCAGCACGTCTTGCAGGAGCCGGTTGTTCCCCTCCGGTTCCAGCGCCATGGTGAGTTTTATCCGTCCAGCCTCACCGCGGTGGGAAGAAGCCTGCCCAAGAACATCCGCTGCTGGAATCCGACAGACAGACTGACTGCTCGATCACCTGTCACCTCCAATCTGAAGTGAGAGGAGGAGGAGGAGAGAGACTGGAGGGAGGAAGGACCGGAGGAGACTGAGCGATCCGAGCCGGGGCTGGAGGAAACCTCTCTGTCTCTGTGTGTCTGTCTCACTGATAGCTTTATTACTGAGTCTCACTGACTGCATAATAATCAAGCCTATATGTTACCATCACCTCCTCCTCCTCCTCCTCCTCCTCACTCCCTCCTCCCCTGCCTGCCTGTCTGTCCCCTCTCCCCTCCACCCCTGGTCATATCTGATCAAAGTGAGACACCCAGCGGTGGAATACCAGACCACATTTAACTTGGCATCCCAACAATCTCTGAAAAGTCAGCCATTATCTTTGACAATAAAGTACTTACACTTAATATGTCTTTATACTCCCCAGTGCAAACAACAACACAGTTGCAGACTAATGCAATAGACAAACAATTATATAAAAATTGAAACAATTAAACAGAATATTTTTAATAATTTTACCCAGTTAATACTGAAACCTACTTGTGTTTCTGTTTAGTATTTTAACATACCGTATTATTATTTTATTTTGTGGTTTTCAGCCTTATGGTTTGCATTTCATAAAAAGGTAAGGCAGCTCTATTTGTATAGCACATTTCATACACCAGGGCAATTCAAAGTGCTTTACAGAGCAATAACATATAAAACATAATAAAGGATACGGATATAAAAGGTAAAATTAATTTACAACTTTAAAAATCACCATTAAAAATAGCAAAAGCCCAGACAAGAGGTGCAAAGATGAAAAGATTATTAAAATGATTTAAAATTGAGTTTAAAAATAAGGTTGCAGTCATTACAGAAGTAGGCAGTGTAAAAAAGGGATATTTGTGATTTATAATTTGCAGAACATCATTTTGTGTATTATATTTAGTGTTATAAAAGACTATATTGTGTCATATGTTGTGCAGGATTGTCCTCTTTTTATACAGCTATAGGGATTATTATATGTTTGGTTCTTTATCATTATACATTACACAGAAGTATGATTATATGGTGAAAAAATAACCCAAATAAAGATTCATTTGTAACAGTGGAATGTAAGACTACTTTTATTTTGTGGGACTGGAGTAGTATTTAATATTTTATTTTTGTATTCCTATATGTGTCATTATGATATTTCACCATTTGGCCATTTTGTGTCCTTTTAATGTTGACTTTTAATTTATTAGTCTATCTGGTTTTCTGTCATTGTGCGTTTATAGCTAGTTAAATCCATTTTTATTTATATAGCCCAATATCTCAGATCACAAATTTCCCTTTAGGGTCTAATTACAGTCAGGCGTTTTTAAAAAACAAAATGAAACCAGATCTAGTTCAGATTTAGGTAATAATTATGAGCTTATACAAAATTTTGGTGGTGATTTGCTGTTTCTTGGTAAAGTTAAAACGCCTAAATCGAAAACCTGATCGATCATCAATGCGATTCGCTCGATTGCTAATGTCTGTGTGTTGCGACTGTCCCAGAAAAAACGAATACGTCATATTTACGCGACAACAGGGTGCTGCGCTGCCTTCGTATTTACGGAAATCTTGCGGATTCTTAAAAGACAGACACTTTAAACAAAATAAAACATGTCTACCGCCATGAATTTCGGGTCGAAGAGTTTTAAACCTCGGGCTCCTGACAAAGGCTCGTTCCCTCTGGACCATTTTGGTAAGATGAGATGCAGAATGTCGTGTTTGTCCCTGTTGAATAACACTGTTTAAATTCAGTCTGCCCTGAGAGCTCTTGTGTGTTTGCAGAATGAATGTTTCATGAGTAAACTGTGAATTCAAGCAGAGACAGACATTATAGTCTGCAGCTGTGTGATAAACAAAGACCCGTCCATCGGTTTCCTCTCTGGAGACATGCAGCTGCCCTTTGACGGCTGAAAACAGGACCACTAAGGACACTGATAAAACTGCCCCTCACAGCTTGCCGTAGCTCGCGCTATATTGGTCATTTTTATAATATTTTACAGTAATTCAGCTCAGTTGTGGAAACCAAGTAATTACTTTTAAGTAATGTACTTAAGTAATATTTTGAAGTACTTGTACTTTTCGTAAGTATTTCCATTTTCTGCTACGTCACATCTTCATTTTTACTTTTACTCTTACCTGTTTGCTAAATTTAGCTATTTACTAGATTGCCAGATTAATAATACAAAATGTAATGAACAAATTATGGTGAAATACATATGTCCATAAGTTTTTATTGATCCTCAGTACGGAATTGGAAAGCTACACATATAGTAAGTAGCCTAATATATATAAAGTGTATAGGTCTACAAATTAATTAATACAGTCATATTGGTAAATTAGAATACCCTCACCTTTACCAGCTGAAATATTAAAGTGATGTACACGTTAATGCATCAATAATCAAAATCCTATAATATATTATATGCTGAAATGGGTCTAATGCAAAATGAGTACTTTTACTTTTGCCACTTTAAGTAGCCTATTTGTTGATTCTAATACTTTTATACTTTTAATACTGAATGCAGGTATTTGACTTGTAGCAGAGTATTTGTATACTGTAGTATTGTATCTGAGCACTTCGTCCACTACTGCTTAATGGTTATACATGGCAGGCTCATACTGGGGCTTAGCTAATACAGGCTGCTGTGTTCTAAATTAACAATCATTGATAAAACACACACACAGTCCAACAAACTATATCTGTGAGTTACATCTACCAGAGGACTCACAGTGCTGCTCCTTTTAAAACCCCTTCTTTATTACAGGAAGTAAAGTTTGAGCTCAAATTGGCCCTTTGTCAGGTGCAATTGAATCAAACTGACTCAGGTTTGTGTCAAAGAAATTGTCTTGTGTGGTGACAAAAAGGATGACTTAAGATAAAACCAATAATAGTACGTCACAAAGGGAGTCATCTGAAGCATTACAAAATAAACAACATACAGAGGACATTTTCAAACATATGACAAGGAATAATGTCTTACATCTCTACAGTTCGGCTGGACTTTGATGTTGATATGCTTTATTATTTCAGGAGAGTGTAAAGCCTTCAAGGATATATTTATGAAATGTCTGAGAGAAAACAGCTTTGACAACTCCAAGTGCCGACTGCAGTCCAAAGAGTACCTGGAATGCCGCATGGACAAGTAAGAAACCTCATTGAAAATACAGCTTACACCTCTTAAAATCCTTAGATCTGCCGACTGAGTAAACTGTAACACTGTAGTTATACCTTTTAAACAAGAATTGTAATTTTTCCTGAGAGCTGTCTTGTGTTTTCCAGTCAGCTGATGGCCAGAGAGCCTCTGGAGAAACTGGGATTCAAGGACCTGATGGATCCTCCTCCGAGTCAAGCAGACAGAGACACTAAACCCTGACCTGTTACTGCACCACAGCTGCTGTTTCAGAAATGCAGTGATGGTGTTGCTGGGAACTTTTTTATCAAACAATTTGTTGTGCAGATTAAAGGCAAAGACTGCTGTGAGTGTGAAGCTGAGGAGATTCGCTTCCAAGACTCTGAGACAGTGGGCCTGTGAGAGGATACTGTGATTTGCTTTGGGGCCTTAGTTTGTTACAGAGAACAAACTAATTGTATAAATATTTTGTGTACATAAGATATGATATGTAATATATGGAGATGATATTTTGGCTTGTGAATAAATCTTTTTTTTTTTTAATAAACTGCATAAATTGACTCTAACAATCGATACAGTCAAAATGGTGACATCTGCTGGCAAGTCGTTGATATTGCATTTGTATGGCTGGACGTAATCATGAACAGTAGAAACAGGTGGTCACTGCTTTTATTTTTTATTTTTTTCACTGAAGAAGCAGTGAAATGAAAAACAAATCAAATTTTTATGTCGTAATTATGTGTCCCTGTGTTTATTGCTAATGCCATATACTAAATATGTGCAAGGAAAAAAAATCCTTTTCATTTTTTTTACAGTTAAAACCCCTCTCGTCTCTTTTGCTGTAAAATGTAAATGTAATGACTCATGTTAACCTCAAAACATAAAGTATCCACTCAAATGTGATCTATGCTGGCTGGCATTACTCAGTAGAAGATGTTTCTATAGGCGATATACAGGTGGCAGCTTAGAGTGCCATCCAAATGAGGGTGCACCAAAATCCTAGCTCTAATGCTACAGCATTAATGGGCTCGATGGAGTGGAGTGTATGTGGAAAACATCTGTGTAAGAGAAAGTGAAAGGCAAAACACATTTAGGATGCAGTAAAATAAAATTGAAAATAAAAAAAGAAAGTTGAAATTTTGCACATGCCATATTCTTTCAGTTTGATATATATTGTTATTGTTTGTTAGCCAAGTTTGTCATATGTGTTTTGATTTTTAATTAGCTCGTTCTTGATTGTAATAAATACGATAATATAAAAGGCTTTTCCTTTTGCTTCAATTTCCAAATAATGTTTAAAGTCTAACTTACTCATTCATCACTATCTTCCTCCTCCAAATCTAACAATGTAGATAAAGAAAGTGAGCAGTCCTACAGCTCCGTATCCCGATTTCCCTCTCACCTTTTTCACAAACCAGTCATTAAGGATTTCATTTAAATCTCTCATGTGAGATATCACATTTTAGAAGCTAAAGTTGCTATGAATGCCATTTTACTTAATGAAAACAGAATACCTTTAACCAGACACTACAGTTTAAGTACAAAATTCCAGCAGCGAGACTCTGATTTGAGTGTGATGTAAGTGCCTGCTGCTTTAAAATGCTTTGGGCGTAACATCACGACTATTAACCAGCTGATTCTCAGATGTCTGAGTTCCAGAACGATAAAAATGACACTTTAACAAGCCTGTCTGAAGCTCAGTGAACACAACAGAGTGCTGCAGGGATGACATTTTGTTGTATTTTGTAGAAAATAAGCTGTGTGGCAAACAAAAGTTTATGATACTTATGCATTTTGTTCAGCAAGATAATCTGCACAAATGAACACTAATAATGATTTCTGGAGTGTAAATGCAATCACCAAAAGTGCAAAGCTAACATTAGGCTATCAACAAACTTCACCTTCAGAGATAACAAATGCATATCTATGTACCAATGGCACCAAGATGCTATATGACTTGGTCAAAATTACTTTGGTTTAAAGAGTCCTATAAAGACATAGTTAATATCTTGATATGTATTAAAAACAATAGATAATTAAAGCTCTAATTCAGGAATGGAATTCAAAAAAATGGTTTAAATATAAAGATTTCTGTTAGACGGTCATAATGTATCATCTTCATTTTGGCTGTTGGATGCCTTTCAGTAGCAACATATCCCTTTCTGTGGAGAAAAACAAGTTATAGGTTAATATGTAGAAAATTAAAGGACCCTTCAAAGTATGCTGCATTTGATTTGCCACAAATGTACAACATTACTTGTTACTGTGGGAATATGGAACAAAATAAATCATGAAATAGAAAATGGTAATATAAAAACAAACATAAAAGTCTGTCTTCCAAACTTACTTTCTGTAACCTTTGGAATCTTCTTTTGAGCCATTTGGCTTCTGGATCCACACAGTACTGTGTTTTGTTTGCAGTGGTAAAACTGTAGAGTTGCAAAGACAAATAGGAATATAATACTTCATTAAAATATAACACCATAATAATACCTCAGAATTACCACGTAGTGACAAATTGTAAAATAATGATTGCTTATATCCTGTTTTAAATGAGCAGTATGAGGGATTTAGTGGCATCTAGTGGTAAAGGTTGCACATTGCACCTAACTCAATGCCCCTCGGCTCAATCCCTCCTTTCCATGCATGTAGTAGAACCTACATCAGCCTTCAGGTAATGTAAGAACACATGAGGCCCTCTATAGAGCCAGTCCTTTCAGAGCTACTCTAAAAACATGGTAGTGCAACATAGTGAGCTCCATGGAAGTTGACCAGCTCAATGAAGGGCTCATTCCAAGCTAATAAAAACAAAATGATTCTTAGTTTCACATGTTTATATGTGTAATTATTATTAGATGACTGTATTACATGTTTGCCAATAGATCAGGGCATTTAAAGCCATTTAAATACCAATTGCTGCAATTTTTCTTCACATTATGCCCCATTTGTCTGCCTAAAATTTGCGTTCCACCACACCCCAAATACAGACAGAGGATGAGGCTTGTGTTAGTGTTATACTTTTTCTTACAGGAATGCATGTATTCCACAATGAGCAAATGTGGTTTCCCTCTGTTCAAAGCAGGAAACAAAGGGATCTTGAATGTGGGCCTTTGAGGCTTTCATACAGCAAGGGGGGATAATGAATCCTGGGACCCTGGGCCAAGGCCTGTAACACTGAGGAAGCCCTGAAATACAGCACACAAAAACACACAGAATAACATTAGTAATGCCGGGTTCACGCTTCACAGTATTTTTGTCTGTTAACAATGGTCACTGTGTCAGATTAGGCAAATATAATTATAGTCATAAAAATTTAGGAAGAACTATATAAATCAACAAATCAACTCAGGATAACTGGGCTCAACCAACTCCAGCACACCCAACCTCATCCAAATGCCACAAACAGGACAGAATGGCTCCAAACGCTTTAAATTTCAAAGGGGGTCCTGCAATCACCGACATCAGTTGACAGCTCTCCCTCCCCCCTAGGTGAGGAAAGGATGGTGCCAGCCACAATACCAACACAAAGAACAGAACAGATGCATGGCTGATCAACATGGTCAAGTTTAGAGCCATCCCTCTGCAGAGAGATCAGCTCAGGAACCTGACACACAAGTGTAAACGGACCACAAAACCAAGCCTGAAACAGCAACCACACCAGTCACAACAACACCAGATCACCAACCTAACTGGTGCTGCTCAGCACAGCAATCAACTGATGCTTTCATCCTTTGGGCCTGTTGTACTTTGACCTTTCAGCTTTATCTGCCAAATCTCTGCCAAATAGACAGCACTGGTACAGGTATGAACACAACAGGTAACTTATTTTTGCCTCTTTTTGCAAGTATTGTCAAAGTTGGCACGGCTCATGGCACCGGTAACTGCGATGGCTGGAAAATGATAAGCCATGTTACCCGCATGGTTGCCAGGCCACACACCTTCACCAGCTCAGACATTTCCACGGATCACGTCAACCCCTTCAACTGGGAACATAAATTGAACACCAACTGCTGCTTCACCGGACAGCAAACCTGAAAGCAGATTTAATTTGTGGAGTGGAGCCAAGATGGGAACCAGACCCATTCTTTGGTCAACAGTGTCATCAGTGCCACTAAAACAGGAAAAGTGCATGTATCAGGCAAAATTGTCATTGCAACTTTTTTTCTGACCCTGGACTGACGGAAACCCCTCAGATATGGATGCTGAATCGTCAGACTTCTTGCCTAGTGTTGGACTGCAGCTCCACCCCAGGAACTGCACAAACTGATGAACTGTTTTAACACCAGATGTGCAAATTCAAAGATGTGCTGTCTGACTTGGAAAGCAGAACTTGAGCCTCTTGTGCCTTACCTGTCAGAACACACTGGAGAAGAGGGGTGTGCGCATCATCAGACCACTCTCTAGACTACACGACCCTCTCAAACAGAGAGTAACACATCTGGATCCTTCTCTGCAAACTTGGGAATGGTACATGGACTGCACTTGTATAGTGCTGTTCTAGTCTTCCGACCACTCAAAGCACTTTTATACTACAAGTCACATTCACCCATTCACACACACATTCGCACACTGGTGGCCGAGGCTGACATGCATGGTGCCTCCTGCTACTCAGTAACCATTCACACACTGATGGAACAGCCATGGAGCATTAAGGGTTCAGTATCTTGCCCAAGGACACTTCAACAAGTGGACAGAAGGAGCCAGGGATTGAACCACCAATTTTCCAATTAGTGGATGATCCTCTGCCTCTGGGCCACAGCCGCCCCAAACACTAGACACAAGTTAGCCAAACACAACTAAACACAAGTTAGTTGCCACATCAAACTCAAATTTACTCTGAACCAAACCCCTTACAGGTTTACCTTTTTTAAATCAAATTTAGTCTGCATTGCTGCAGTTACAGTTCAGACAGTTCTGTACTTTGTCTCGTTACTTCCATTTCCAATTCCCTTTGTTGTTTGATTTCTCCACATTGAAACTGTAACATCAGAGGTTCTCATTGTTGTTCAGACATTAGAGCCAGCAGTTTTCCTGATGTTAATCTTAAAAATTGCTCCCTCATTTCTTCATTTACCAGAATTTAACCTTCTAGCAATTTGATTTTCCACAGCATTTTTTAAGATTCTTTAAACCTTTAATCTGGTAATTTAATTCCATAGTGATCAACAATGTTTAATAGCATTTTCTTGGTATACTTTTCAAATAACTCCTCAGAAGGAGATTGAACAAACTCCTCCATCATAGGAGCCATATTTCAGCTGCACTGTATACCACAGAAAACCCCAGTTGCACAATGGCCCAGTGCAACCCAGAATAGCCGCAACAATGGAGTCACAAAATGCCACTGACTAGACCAGATCAAACCTGTCTAAACTCAACCCTACTCTATAGGCAGCCAATGATGAGGGTGACACAGTAAGTGTGTTCCAATACCCATACTACCATACTATATAGTATGCCAGAAAAAGATTTAGTATGTCCCAGTACATAGTATGTCAAATGCAGTACATCCTATCAGATTTTGCTACAAGCCAGCATG